GAAGGGGTGAGGACCTTGGTCTTCCCACAGGGCAGGGAACCCTGACTGCTTTTTGGACTGGAGAGGGAGGGGGAGGGGAAGTGGGGGGAGGGGAGGAAATGGGAGGAAGGGAGGAGGTGGAAATTTTTAATAATAATAATAATAAAACAGTAAAATTACATATAACAAAACAGGTATTAAGCAAGATTACAGTTACAGTATTTATATCTACTTCATCTTTTATAATAACTAAGGAAAACTAACTATAACTATCCATTCTTCAACTCCATCAAAGATTCCAGAAGGATATAATATTACCTAACTAATCAGGAAGTGCATTGTGAGCAACTTCCAAAACTCTAGAATTGACAAGACATCGCATTGCCTAAACAATCACCCAAAATTCTTCTGTAATATTGTAGGCACCCATCTTCAGCCTGATGGCCCACAGTATTCAGTAGATTTTTCCATGAAGCAGGAAATTTCAAAGACAGTTCATCTATATTGGCAGTTTGTAAGTCACTTTCTTCTGTGTTCTGCAGAATGTCTGGCAGACTCTTTCATGAAGCAGAAATCCCCCAAAGGACCGTCTCACCTTTAGGAAAGTTCATCAGTCATTTCTCTGTGGATCCTGCATGTCCAGTTCATACAGCATAGCATCAAACAGTCCAGGCAAGAGCAATTTCTTGCCCAAATGGCTAGCAAACTCCATAAGGAAACTCTTTGATGCCCATCATCCTCTCAAAGTAGATTGGTGCTGCCAGGAACAGATGTGTCTCGCTGTCATGAAGAGTCCTAACTTCTTTAAACATTTTAAATACCATATTCTGTAGTCTTTGAATGATTTGAAGAATACCTTTCTAACTCAAAAATATCTCTATATATCTAGAAAACTAACTAATGTGACTACAAGCTTGACTATTATAGATAATTATCTAATAACCTATATTTCCTAATTATGCATTACATTTCTAAATGAGCTGTATAAACACAATACCTTAATTAAGAGCAGAAATATACATATAACAAAATTGACCTAAAATTTGTATCAATAGAGCAAGATTCATAGCAATGCAAATCTTTATAGCATATCCCTCTTTAAATGTAAACAGACATTTATAGACAATATTTGGGAATATGGGCATAGTCCTCTCCAAACTGCTTCCTGCTTTTTGTTGGATGAAGTATTTTGAGGGATGTTCATGGCAAGCTTTTGAGGGTCTTGGTCCATCAAACCACATTAGTCTGGAATAAATTCACAGATTCTCATCCTCTGTAGAAACAAAAGCAGAACCTCTTTTCCAAAGCAACATATCCTTAGACTAAAATTCTGAAGTCAAGATACCTTTATTTTGGTTTAACTTAACAGTCCATACAATGAAATGTCTCTCTGTACTTAACTCCTTTACAGTCAAAAAGTTCAAAGAAAACACAATAATAAACATAATCCATAATCTCTGTGTATTTTCCATCTTTATGTGGCTTATTTTTTTATTCCTTTTAATCTCCGACTGTCTGTATTCTGTCTCTTTAAATATTTTTTTATTTTTATAAACCATTTTACTTCCTTTTATAACTCTCTATGCCCTTTTTTCTTCTCTCTCTCCAGCCTACACACATTTAACCAACACTGTGACTCATTTAGAGGTCTTTTCCATCTGAATTTACCTTGATTGCATATCTGGAATTATCTTTTGACCAGGAGCACCTTTTATTTTAATGCTAAGTGGGTGTGGCTAAGCCCAACTCTACAGTCATGTTTGCTTGCTCCTCGCAGTCCAACATGGCGGAGACAAGTTCACTGCCTCTGAAAGCCATGTACATTTCCCCATTTTCAGGCACACAGAGGGTCTTTGTTGCCATTAAGCAAGTTGTAGCACTCTCCTCACAAACCCCATTTAAATGTTCCATAGCTAGACTTCCAGGAAGAGTCAGAATTTGTGCAGGCAGCAGGACCCAGGAAGCCTCTTTTTCAAAACCACGTCGTTTTTTTTTTCTGCTCCCACTGAATCAGGAAAACCTCTCTTAAAGGAGCTGCAGCAATCCACCAGCAAGCAAAGCCCATCTGTAAAAAAATGCTGCTAAACTTGTGTGTGTGTGTGTCTAGAGCTCCTTTCCAAGCTTTCTCAGATTTTACATGGATATAGTTGACCACGTGGGAGCATCAGTTTGTTGTAAGGAGGTTGCTTGTTCATTTCCCGGGTACCCAGACTCCCAAAATAATCACACAGAAACCATATTATTTAAATCACTGCTTGCCCCATTAGCTCTAGCTTCTTATTTGCTAACTCTTACATCTTAATTTAACCCATCTCCATTAAACTGTGAGTCACCACAAGGTCGTGGCCTACTAGCAAAGTTCCAGCACGTCTGTGTCCAGCGGCTCCATGGCTTCCCTCTGACTCTGCCTCCTTTCTCCCAGTATTCAGTTTAGTTTTCCCTGCCTAGTTCTACTCTGCCCTATCAACAGGCCAAGGCAGTTTCTTTATTCATTAACCAATAAAAGCAACACACATACAAAGGACTTCCCACATCACCTGCAGAGATGTACACTTCTGCTGGCACTTCTCTGAGTCCTAAATGAAGCTGATTCTTATAACATGCTCAGAACAGGGAGCCTTACTTAAATTGCCCCCTCTGGGTCATTCCCACTGTAGTCACAAATTCCCGGTAATGAGTGCTGGAAAGAAGTCATGACAGGGCAGCATGCTAAATTAAGAGCAGAGAACCTCAGGCAGGAAAGGGTACTTGCTTAAGCTGGGATGATGCTGGCCTGGCTACGATTTGCTTGCTGGTGGAACCTGATAAATAGGCTGCACACAAAATGCTATATAATGGGTCCTGCTCTGTGTCTGTACAGATTAAGTCCACTGCCCTTTGGCCCTGACTTGGCGGGAAATGGCCCTCTCATCGCCCTCTCTGGTTTCCCTTGAGTCTCCATGGTTACTAAGAAACCAGGATTTTTTTCCTTTGAGAATAAAAACTGGATCCGGAGACTTGTATGTGTGTTGATGAATTACTTCCAGGTTGCTGTTTGTTAGGACAGCTGCAGGGTAGGGGGAGACTATAGCTCTGCCTTCTAATCAGCAAAGAGGACAGGTCTTCCAACTGTGTCTTTAAAGACAGTGTGACCCAATGGAGAGAGCAGAAGACCTGGGCTACATTAGCTGCCCAGCCTTGGGAGACATTTCCTCGTTTGTCAGAACAGCAGTCAAGCTCTTGCCTCTGTGTGCCTTAGGAATGTGAGTACATTGAGAGCATAGAAATGATGTGGGATTCCCCTCTGTATGCTGTGGATATGTTTTATTATCATTGATTAATAAAGAAGCTGCTTTGGCCTATGGCAGGGTAGAATATAGGTAGGCAGGAAAACTAAACAAAATGCAGGGAAAAAGAAGGTGGAGCCAGGTAGATGCCATGTAGCCACCGAAGGAGAAAGATGCCAGAACATTACCAGTAAGCCACAGCCTCATGGTGATACATAAATTAATAGAAATGTGTTAATTTAAGATGTAAGAATTAGTTAGAAATATGCCTGAGCATTTGGCCAAACAGTGTTGTAATTAATATAGTTTTTGTGTGATTATTCGTGTCTGAGTGACCAGGAAACAAAAAAGCAGTCTCCAATTACATAGAAATGCAGTAATATAAATGGTAAACTTTATCAGTGCCAACTTACTGTGTGTGTGTTTATATGAGTGCATGTGTAGATGTGTGCATGTGTGTATGTATGCATGTGTGTATGTTTGTGCACACATGTGTGTTGCATGAGGAGGCTAACGTTCAACCTTAGGTTATTCCTCAAATGTCATCTATCTATTTTTACATTAATTATTAAATTTAGAGCATGCCATGGCCCTGATGTGGAGGGCAGAGGGCAGCTTGTAGCAGTTGCTTCTCTCTTCTATCACGGGGATTCTGGGGATTGGACTTGGGTTGTCAGGCTTGCAGCCAGATCATTTCCCTGTTGAACCATCTTTGAGGTCCTGCTTGACAGCCTAAAAAGAAAAGGCTGGGCACAGTGGCCTGCACTTAGGATCCCAGCACTAGGAAGGTGGAGACAGGAGCCAAATGGCCGGGTGGAGAAAGGAATGTAAGGGGAACAGACAGGAACTCAGTGGAGTGTGGAGTGGAGTCTGGAGTCTTCAGGATTCAGGGAGACAGGATCTTGGCCATTTTTGGTCTGAGGTAGATAGAGGTAAGGGCTTTCCAGTGGCTGGCCGTTTTGCTTTTCCAATCTTCAGGTTGAAACCCAATATCTGTCTCTGGGCTTTTATTATTCATGCTACAAGTATGCACCCCTGGATAACCTTTTATGTACTGCAGACTGGCCTCAAATTCAAAGAGCTCTGCCTCTGTCTCCTGGGATAAAAGAGAGGCCTGGAACTTCTAGTCTAAAAAAAGGGGGGGGGGGCAGAGAGATGGCTCAGAGGTTAAGAGCACTGATTGCTCTTCCAGAGATCCCGAGTTCAATTCCCAGCAACCACATGGTGGCTCACAACCATCTGTAATGAGATCTGGTGCCCTCTTCTGGCCTGTGGGCATGCATGCAGATAGAAAACTATATACATAACAAATAAATAAATCTTAAAAAAAAAAGAGTCTGGTTTTTGCTTGTGTGTGTGTGTGTGTGTGTGTTCATGTACATGGGCACATGTGTGTCGGTGGGGTGCATGCATGTTCAAGTGAGGGTGAAGTTGACATTGAGTGCCTTCCTCCAAGGCTCTTCCATTTGTTGAGGCACTGAACCTGGAGCTCACCAATTCAGCCAAGCAACATCTAAATAAAACCTCCATGCCAATAACGTGCGAGAGTTATTTGGTTGTGGTGGTTTTCATTATAAGCTTTGACAACTAAGGTTAACTTTGCTATCCAAGGTCACAACTCCGTGCCTGGAAACTGAACTACAATTCCCATAGTGCATCGCTAATGTCTCAGGGGATTCTGGGAAGTGCGGCAGAAGTATGTTTTGGGCCAATTAGAATTACTGTCGCAGGCGTAGTGATTAAATTAAGTTTTCTAAAGTGCATTTTTAGAAGGATTCTGGGAGGAGTGGCAGAAGCATCAGTTCCCCGGGGAAGAAAAAAAAAAAAGAGAGAAAGCATTTGAACTTGAACGTTTGGCGTTCCTGAGGTTTGCAGACTGTTGGAGCATCGGAGGCACCCGAAAGAATTCAGAGTGAGTACAGTGAAACGAAACCTGTTCTGACTGCAACCAGAACGTTGGCGCCATAATCAAAACTTAGCAGCCGCTCTCGGATACAGCGTTTGAGTTTTAAAAGTGTTTGTAATCTCGAGAAACCAGACCTTTGCACCCAACTTTGAGTGCCTCTGATTATTTTCCGAAACGTTTTTAGAGAGCTTTTTATACCTGGAACTTTTTCGATTTCTCACCTTTTCTCTTAATTTTTGAATTGGTGGTGGGATATTTTAGAAGTAAACCATAAAACTTTTTATATAATCAAGCCCGTGAAGTCTGCAACACGGTGGCTTCGAATCCTTCCCAGCCCCGCTAACGTCCACAGTAGAATGGATGTTCCCAGGACTCTCTCCAGCACAAGGAGCAATGCCTCTGCAGGGTGAGGGCACCCGTGAAGATTCAGAATGAATCTGTTGTCACACTTTATAAGTCAGTCCTTCTGGAAAGGCGAGCAAGATGAGAAGTGTGTGTGTGTGTGTGTGTGTGTTGCAGTTATTTCATAAGAATCCTGCTTTGGCATTTGTTAGTTTTAGGTAAAAACAGTGACTTTTCATCCCATCTATAATTCTATGTACACACACACACAGTAGGACGTTGCGCTCTGTGACAAATTCCTTAGTATCCAGACTGTGATAATCTAAAGCTGGCTAAAATTAATTTAGTAACAGAAATTGGACCAGACACCAGGCAGCCCTACAGTGGGTCACACAAAGAGAAGTAGCCACAGCCACAACGAAGTAGCTTTTGCAGCTCCCAGAACCCATGAACCTCATCAGAGGAATTCTAGTAGCCTAGAAATAATCTCCGGCTATTAGTCTCAGGAACTACTGTTTTTGTTACACTGTTTGCTTATACTGTTTTGTTATATCTTTCTTTAAAAGGAACATGTGCTTACATTTTTAAAGGAGGCTGGGCCTATAAGCCCCTGCTGAGGCAAAATGGTCAGTGCCATGAGTCTGAGACCAGCCTCGGCTACAGAACGAGACCTTATCTCAAGAAGTAGTAAATGAATGAAATTTATAATCAACAAAAATAAATAAATTTAAGTCAGGGCTGGGAAGATGGCTCGGTAGATAAAGTGCTTGCTGAGTTTGATTCCCCAGGACCCATGCAAAGCTGGGTGCAAACACGCATCTGTAATCTAAGCACACCCACGGTGAAAGGAGAGGCGGAGCAGGCTCCCTGGATGCTCACAGACGAACTAGCCTGGTATACCTAGGAACAAACAAGGAAAACAGCCTGTCTCAAAATAAGGTGTAGGGTGAGGGACCAACAGCTGAGGTTGTCCTCCGATCTGTACGTGTGTCCTGTAGCATGTGTGTGCCTACAGCCCACCCCCTACATCATATACACACAATCTGTACATGCATGCGTCCTGTGGCATGTGTGTGCCTTCAGCCCCCCCCATATACACACAATCTGTACATGCATGTGTCCTGTGGCATGCATGGGCCTGCAGCCCACCCCCCACATCATATACACACAGTCTGTACATGCATGTGTCCTGTGGCATGCATGGGCCTGCAGCCCCCACCACCACCATATACACACAAATACAAGTATAGAAAATGAACAGTTTAGTTGCATGTACCCTTCTCGACCCTCATCATCTTCTTTCCCCTAACCTAGCCACTGCCTATAGTTTGGTCCGCATACTTGTAGTCTGAAATATATAAATTCCTAACTATATAATCTTAGCATCCAGTAAGTAGTAGTTGAGGATGAGTGAACCCAGAGCCAGCCTGGGTTATGTGAGACCCTCTCAAACAAACAACAGTAACAAATCCACACACCTCCAGATGAGGGAAGTGTCATACATTTGTAATCAGCACCGTGGAGTCAGAGGCAGGAGGATTGCCATGAGTTCAAGGCCAGCCTGGGTTACATAGTGATTTCCTAGCCCACCAAAGCTAAGACCCAATGTCAAAATAACAAAACAAAACTGTAATTTATGTATACTGGAATGTTTATCTGTTCTCTTCACTGTAAATGAATTAGGCAGTGATAACCAACCAAATATTACTGTCTCGCTGAAGATATAACAGGCAAATAAAGCTCAATATGGTGGCTTATGTGTCCTATCTCAGTACTTGGGAAACTGATATAGGGTGATTGCCTCCGGTTCAAAGCCAGCCTAGGCTATATTGTGAGTTCCAGGCCAGATTCATCAAAAGTTGATAAAAATACAGATTTCTAGTATACAATGTAATATTTCAATATTTGCATATCCTATTAAATCAAGCTAATATATCTGTCACCTCACATATCTATAGTTCTTTCTGGTAAGGGCATTTAAGATCTCTTAGAGGTTTTCAAGTATCTTTCAAGTATCTATGGCAACCATCAGTACTACAGATTTGCAGAATTTACATATCCTGTCCAAGTGAAACTGTGTACTCTTTGGCCAGCATCTCCCCATTGCCTCCCAGGCATTTCTTACATAATAAAATATTGTGAATACTACTTCCTGTTACTACACACATTGTTCTCTATTTAAAAGCTACTTATTATTCTATTTAATCATAATTTTGGGGGTTGCTGAGGATCAAACCATAGGCCTCATGCATGTTAGGTAAGTAGTCTACAATTGAGCTACATCCCCAGACCATATCGTAATTTAACTTTTTTATTTTATTATTTTTATTATTATTAGTGTGTGTGTGTGTGTGATAAGTGTGCCTGCAGATGCAAGCATGCCGTAGTATACATATGAAGGCCAGTGGACAACTCTGGGGAGTCAGTTTTCTCCTTGCCCCATTGGTTCCAAAAATCAAACTCAGGTCACTAGACTTGCACAGCAAGTGCTTTTAGTGGCTGAACTATCCTACTGGGTCCCATTATCACAAATTTAAAAGAAGTATTTATCTATTTTATGTTCATTCATAAGCAACTACATGTCCCTATACCGTGTGTGTGTCTAGTGCCTGTAGAGGCCAGAAGAGGGCATTGGATTCCGTGGCACTGGAGTTACAGATAGTTGTGAGCTGCCATGTGGGCACTGGGAACTGAACAGATCCTCTGGAAGGGCAACCAGCTTCTTTAAATTCTGACTCATCCTCAGCCCGTATACTTTTTATTAACATTCTTAACCATGTTCTTTCCTCCCTAGAACAGATTCTTAGACGTATAATTTTTAGATCAAAGAAAGTTTATTTAACACATTAATAGTTATTCCTAAATTAACTTTGTGAGCTAGTAAAGTTGGCCTAAGTCACATACCTTTAGATTATTAAAATTAAACCTTTAACACTATTCTCACAGTGCCTTTTAACCCACATAGTACATACTGCCTTCTCTGAAGGTGATTCATACTGTACATTTTTTGTTTTTTAAGCCATCTTGAGTAACATCAGTACCTAATATTTTGTTAGCTATCATTTGGTAAATATATTTTATCTTCATCAGGGTCATAGACTGCAGCCAAAACTATTCAAGATTAGTCATCAGTGACTCAAAGTTGCACAATCATGAAGCAGGCCTGAACTCTAAATGCTTCTTGGCAGGCTAGTCTCAAAGCTTGCTTCCCTTGGGCAGGTTAAAAGGTGGTTGGTTGTTTAACTGATCTTACTTTCTCAGTGGGATTTCTTGACATTTTTACTACTAATATGAAAGATGTCCTTCACAGGAAAGACAGTACATTCTAATACACAATTTAAAAAGAAGCTTTGGGCTGGCAGTGTAGCTCGGTGGTTGAGTGCTTGCTTAGGATGTGGATAGGTAACATTCAGATGTGTGAGACTCTGGATTCAACCCTCACAATGCAAAAACAAACACAATTCTGAAAATGGGTTTTTAAGAGACAGAATCTACTACAAAAATGGGAATGAATGAACTTTGATTCCTGTGAATTTGCATAGCTGCCTATTGAAATATTTTCCTAGTGGTCTTGTTTTTAATTTTGTTTTAATCTACAGGATATTCTACTTCATTCTCTAAGAGATGTTGGGTTTTTTGCTTGTCTGTTTTTCTTTTTGGTTTTTAGAAATAGGATTTCACTGTGTAACAGTGCTGGATATCCCAGAACTCAATCTGTAGACCAGGTTAGCCTCAAATTCACAGAGATCCGCCTGCCTCTGCCTCCCAAGTGCTGGGATTAAAGACGTGTGCCACCACTGCCCGGCGCTTTTAGCTTCTTAATATGACAAAACCTTTCATTTTAAGAATTCCTTTCTGTTATTACCCACAGTTATAGGGATTAAATCCAGGGACTTGCACATCCTATGAAAGTGTTCTATCATAACCCCATCCCCACCCTTACCCAATATGGTCAAACTTCTTGTCTTACAAAAAACAGTCCAGTGCAAAGGTTGGGAGCTTTCCTCCACATGTTGAAGGCATAAGTCACGAACAATGCCACACCAGTTTGGAGTTATGATTAATAGGGTGGTATTTATTTAAAGGGGAAAAAACTTACAGATCACCATCCCAGACAACAGCCCTCTGCACAACCAGGAAGGGAGTCTAGTCACCGGCGGAGCAGGAAGTGAAGAGAGTGAGCAGAGGAAGTAGCCGTTTTTTTAAAGGGAGAGAAACCACGCCCCAATGGGCTGGTATCTCAGCAGCTATTATTAGTTGGAGGGGCGGAAGGACCTCCCGCAACAACATGTGAATCAAGGATCCATCTAATGACAGCCTTTTCTGTTGGAGTCTTCCCAGAAGAGGGGAAATGAAGATGGAGAAGCCACATTCACATCTAATGCTTCATCCTGAAAGGGACACAGATTTTCACTAACACCATATTGTTAAGACCCAGGCATGACCCTACCTAGGAACAGGGAAGGGGAGAGAAATGATTAACTTTGCAACCACCTCCCATCAACAGCTCCAAAGTACGAAGGAAGAAACACATTGTTTGTTAATTGGCTGGTTCTCATACCTTACTAGCTTAGCAGAACAGGTTTCAATTTTGTATATTAGATAATAAGCAATGGGAATTTGAGATGACAAGCTAGTTTATGAAAAAATGCAATGAAGGCCTG